CCGCCGGCGGCTCCGAGGGGGTGAGACGTGCTGGGAGCGCCAGGCACTTCAGTTTAGCTGGGTTTGAAGTAGTAAGTGGAGGCACAAGTTGCCTGTATACGTGTATCCATCTCGCTCTAGAAACAGGATCGTATGCAACTTGTGTTCTGTAATCAGATGCATTGCTGTTGTTTTTTTTGCCTTCGCTATGTCGCTCAGCGCTATTTTAGTCTCAGTGAAACTGAAAGTTATGTGGATCAGCCTCCACGGTGTGGGTGGCGAAGAACCGGTGCCGTTCTCCTTTGCTCAGCTGGCTGCTGAGTAGGCCAGAGAGGGCTCACCAGCTCTGCAGGCTTTGAATTCTAAAGTTACTTTCACCTTTACGACCGGATATTGGTATCTCTGTGGCTAAGCCTGAGCATACATAAGGAGGCGTGTGTATAAACTTCTGGCCTGCTGGAGGTCACACGGAGTGTTTGCTTACTGCCCTGATTGCCCCTCACATGCTATAAGTGCAGGGCAGCTCGCTGCCTCTGGAAAGCAGCATTTTTCTTCTTGTAGGACTCCTCTGTGTGAGGGAAATTTGCTTCACTGTAGGCTTGGGTATGAGGTACTGTGCACGAGGTACATACGGTATGAACTACTCTCATCATTATGTTTTGGTGTGCAGTAATAGTGACATCGTGTGACAAGACTTCTGCTGTTTTGGAGAGGTACCAACATGCTCTCTGAGGATCCTCTTAGAGTGCTGAAGAGCAGTGTCATAAAATAACTCCAACTTGTGTACAGTAACTTAGGCTGGTGGACATCTCTAGGGATGGTAGGAGGACCACACCTGGAGCTAATGTAGAGGACTGTGTGCTTCTGTTCATGCCTGCCTTTGTGTGCTAGTTTTTCTGTTTAAGCAAGCCTGGAGTTAAATAAGACCTCTTAAGAGTTTAGGCGTATAGAGATTTTATGAGATTGTGTCATGAGGACAAACAGGATTTTCCAAAGGATTTGGATACAGAGATTCATGTAATTATCAGTTAAAATTGCTTTGGGAACAAAGTTTGCATCTTTGAAGCCTGTGTCTTTGAGATCCACATCTTTTAATCACATAGATCTCTGAAGTCCTTAGGCTTCTAGGTGCTTGGTGCTGGACCTGTGCAGAGCCCTTGCCGTTCACAGCAGAGCTAAGCAGTGGCATATGTGCTTCACTGTGAGTGGAGGAGAGAGAGAATAAAGGGATAATTCTCTGCAATGGGAATCTGTCCTAATGAAGCTCTTCCACTTTGCATAAGATTTTGATTAGGAAGAAAACCTATTGCCCCTGGCCACACATACGCTGGCTGCTAGGTAGTAGCTAAGGTCTTGTTCTTGTCTCCCATTTCTGGCTTGTGTAAGAATTAGTTATATAAAAATACTTAACATTGGTCTTACATACCGTGCTTTCTCTTTGAATCAACTGCTTGCATTATAGCCGGTGTTCTACTTTCTTTCTCTGTGTGTGTTACTTCTTACTGTTCTTGATGCAAGCTTTGATAAGGGCTTGTCTTTGCATGTTTATGCTGGCAAATGAATTTAATGGTTATCTTTAAGTTTCCACCATTCTTTTTGAGCCATGTTAACTGAAAACTTGGTACACTGAACACATGAAAAGCCTTCCTTTACAGTAGTACAAACTACAATGGGCACAAACTGGAGCACAGGAAGTTCCACTTGAACATGAGGAAAAACTTCTTTACTCTGAGGGTGGCAGAGCACTGGAACAGGCTGCCCAGGGAGGCTGTGGAGTCTCCTTCTCTGGAGATATTCAAAACCCACCTGGACACAAATCGTTTGCAACCTGCTGTAGGTGAACCTGCTTTAGCAGGGGGGTTGGACTAAATGATCTCCAGAGGTCCCTTCCAACCCCCACCAGTCTGTGATTCTGTGATGACACACTACCAAACTGAGATGTAACAAAGTACCCTGAAAGTAAATTCATGTCTCTCAAAAGTAGGGTGTAGCTAGAGTATAAAGTATCTGGCTTGTGTTTTACAGCAGATGTTAAAGGAGACCAGAACTTTTGCACAAAAAGTTTGAAGCATACATCTACATGTATTATTTTACTACTTTGTCTTTGCTGCCATCAGGCTTTACCATGCTCCGAGCCTTTAGTCACACAAATGGTAGGTGTGCGTTCTGTCACGCTAAGCGTTGGCTTCATCGTGAGTCTGTGCTGGCAATCAGGAGAGAAGATGTTAATGCTTGGGAAAGGAGAGCACCTCTAGCACCAAAGCATGTTAAGGAGTTGACACAGATGGGATACAAGGTCTTGGTGCAGCCATCGAACCGGAGAGCCATCCATGAAAAGGTAAGGTCCCATTTTGAGTTAGCTAAGCAAAATCATAGTTCAGTTATTAACCATAGTACAGGAAAAATAATATTCAAAGGATATACGTGAGAAAACATGTTATGAGGAGTCATTGTGTCCTAGTGGAGAGAAAAAGGAGTGTTTTATTTAGTGTAATGTTGGCACACTGGTAGGTTTTTGGAGTTGTTTTTATTGATTTCTTGACCTTTTTGTCTGTTTCTGAAGTTCTAGGTGCTCTTGAAGTAGAAAATTGGGAATTCATTTAACATTGGTGGTTTTGTCTTCTGTTTGTATGGAGGCATACATAAAAAAAAAAAAAGTTTTTAAAAAAAGAGGCAAGGCAAATCTGATGAATACCATTCTTTTTTTTTAATCCCATTGCTCATGTGAAATGAGAGAGGTTTTTTTTTCGTTAATGCTGTGAGCCTCAGGGCTGAGAGCTTTTACAGTTCTTGTAGCAGCAGTAATACTCCTGCTGTAAAGAATCTGAGCCAACAGGTAAAAATTGAAACATAAGTAGGGAATTAGTGATCACTTGCACATATCACCTTTTAATTAAGGCACAGTGCTGGTTTTCACCAAAGCACAGATTGCATGAGGTACGCAACTATGATATTGAAAGCTGGAATTTTAATATATTTTTGAGATAAGAGAGAACAAAAATACATTTTTATATGTAAAAACATTCTTCTAGAAGTTGCTCTTTGGCTTGGAGTTAGTCTTATACAATTTTGTAAAATCAGATGTCATCAGCCTTCAGATAAATTTGTCAAATTTCTCTAAACTTATTTCCAAGTATTTCAGCACATTACAAAGGACTGTTCATTTTTACAATACTGTAAGAGACTTCAAATATAGTAAAATGTCCTTTTTGTAGCCTGTGAATTTAAGGTGAAGGATTTTACTAACACATAATTATGTTTTGGCCTTGTATAATAGGATATTTGCATGGAAATTCAGTTTGAGATTTGGTACCACTTTTGATAAAGAGGTTTATGAGCATACAACGTGCAGTAACTTGTTTCTACTTTGTAGAATTATCTGTTTGTCCTCTGCTCTAGTTGCTTATGTGCTGAGATCTGAATATGAAAAAAGACAGAAAAATTTACTTTGATTTTTCTTTTTCATAGGATTATGTCAAAGCCGGTGGCATTATTCAAGAAGATATTTCTGAGGCTTCTCTGATAGTAGGTGTGAAGAGACCTCCAGAGGACAAATTAATCCCTAAAAAGAACTATGCCTTCTTCTCTCACACTATTAAAGCCCAAGAGGCAAACATGCCCCTTTTGGATGAGATTCTAAGACAGGTAAATTGTGTCATAGTGAAGACAATTGGCTGTTAGCCTGGGGTAGAAACTGAACTGAATGCTGAAGTGCGATCGAAAGCTTGCTGCCTAGCATGGTTACTTTCAGCATGTGTATCTTGTAGATAGCTAATGAGGACTGTTTCCAGTATCCTTTCCTGGAGCTGAGTATTTGTTGCTCAGAGGATCTCGTGCTTGCAGTGTTTATGTGCGTAAGGCAGAAGAGTTTTGAGCGTGGTAGGCTCAGGAGAGGTTCGTGCTGTGTGAGGATGAAGGCTTGTTGGAACATTACTAAGGTAGAGTGCGTGTTGGTCGTGACAGAGGGAGGCAGCCAGTTCACTCAGAAACGAGCAGCCTCTTGGCAGAGGATGTGAATGGGTCTGCAGCAGCTGGAGTGGCCTGTTGGGGAGCTCTGCGCCAAGAGTGCACAGTCAGGGCAGAGGCTCTTTAAAACAAGAATTCAATGCAACCATTAGGTTTTTGTTTTTATACTTAAATCCTGTTATGAATTATTTGCCTTTCTCCTATGTGCCCATCAGCCTCTATCATGAAGGATGACAGAAGCATATGGAAAGATAGTTCCTAGGAGAGCAACGTGCCACTGACTGCATTCACTGATATAATAATACTCAGTTTGCTGTATGTTTTCAGGAAATTCGACTGTTTGACTATGAAAAAATGGTTGATCATAAAGGAATGCGAGTTGTGGCCTTTGGAAAGTGGGCTGGTGTAGCAGGTATAGTGCATAAAGTAAAGGCAGGCTTGCAACAAGTAACTTCTTGTAATGCTTCTGGTTGTCTACATTTCCTGAAAGTGGAGGCTTGCAATGCGTTTTTAACTGCATTTTTAACTCCTGCTTTTAAGAGCTTTTTTCCATTCTGTTTTGTGCTCCCTACTTTTGATGAGACTACATGTCAAATAGTCCTGTGGATTCCTGGCAAATCTACTGTTTCATGTTGTCTTGAAGTCCCGTTTGTCTATTCAACTAATCTGAGGCAGACTAAATATCAAGACAGCAGCTGAATAGGCTTTTGAAAGGAATGACTGCTGTCAGTCTTGCAAGTTTGAACAACATCTGTTTGTTGCTCTGTTATCCATTTACACTGATTTTTGTGAGGCATGGTGCTCATTGCTTTCTGCTGAACTTCATCTCTGATCTCCTCCTTTGGAATCTGGTGATATGGATGCATCTCGTAAAAGGATATCGAAGTATTAAATAGTCTGAAATGCATAATGTTGGCCAAGAACAGGT